GTGTGTGTGTGTGTGTGTGTGTGTGTGTGTGTGTGTATGCGTGTGTGTGTGTGTGTGTACCTCGGTTTTCCTTCAGAAACAACCTAATGGTAGACACATTAAACCTATCAGTGACTAGAAAATTTAAATCAGCACAATTTCTCTCCTCATCATGTTTCATTTGCTCAGCTGAAATGATTCCAAAGCATTTTTGGTTTGGATTGTTAGACGTATAATTTTGTCCTAATTGTGACTGGCAGAGGTGATGTGTGGGCGGAGTTTGTCCTAACTGTGATTGGTGGGGTTTGAAAAATAAGTGGAAGTTCTAGGGTGGGAGGAGCTTGGCAAACCTGTAAATTAATATTCATATTCAAAAATAGCGGTCTTTATTCCAGATGGGTTAAGGCTGTTTTGACTGAATCAAATTTTTACATATCCCTCCTCATTTACAGCATTCAAATTTTGTGCAGTTAGCATCTTCCTAGCTTGAGTTATGACCCAAATTATATTTATGTGTAAACATAAAGGTGTTACACATCCCCCCAGCTGCTTTAGGCTTCTTCAAACCCACCCAAAATAGTCATTCCAACCAATCAGGTATTTAACAAACTCCTCCCACACAACCAGAAACTCCCAMTTAGTGACTTGCAGAGAACCCCTTCATATACCAATGTAATATGTACTTTTAGAAAAGGCTGTTACTTTACTTAMATTAGGACAATGCATATAATCTGTGTCTGCTGTGACTGCACATTGCACTGTCAAAGCTAGATTTAGAAATAAAGTATCCTCCAGGTCTGATTAAAGTAGCTGACTTATTGTACATGAAGTTATTGCAAAATGAAAACGTGGTTCTAAAGCTGCTTATCTTCAAGCTAAGTGATTAAACTTTGCTGTATTAWTAGTTATTCTTCGCTGTTGATCTGGATACTTGTATTTAAACACACCAAATTAAATTACCCACATTCAAAAATATGCGTCTAATGACAGAAATTATCTAAAATGACTCATTAAAAAAGAAGCACCTTTACTGTGTCTTCACACTTCTGTTTGCGATGTAAATAAAGCTACGGACATGTGCTGAAACACAAGAAAATGAATGTTATGTGTTATTTTCTTGATGTGCAGCAGTAAACAGCAGATGGTCAGGAAGGCTCTTTAGCGCTATGGATTTTATCTAACTACTCACCTGAATGACCCRTGTTGAGCTGAGCAGCTGATGCAGGAAGCAAAATAAAATTGAGAGTTAACTGTTAGCTCTTGTTTACTTCAGTTCCACGAGACTGCAAGGCCAGAGGAGACATTTGCCATGCATGGAGAAATGAGCTTGTTTATCAGCATTTTGATTTCCACCTCGCCTCGTCGTCCCACTGACATTTTAGACGTACATGATCCATGACTGATTCCCAATCAAAGGCACAATGACAAAGTACTTTGCTTGTGCCGTTTCCATTGTTGTATAATTAAATGTTTRACGATTAGCTCTGAGCACGATTAGGACAAAGCTTTGTTGCATGCACGCTTTCAAAAAAGTAACCTTGAACAGTGTACATCTGTCCTGTCAATTGGATATGCTCCAAAGATTATCAATGAGCTACTGCACCTCATGTCCATATCGGTTGCTTCAAGGTGATTTGTGGCAGTTTATTAGAGCTTTATTTTTCTTCCTGTTGGTGGTGTTCCACCCTCAGACCTCCCACTGTAGTTTGGAGTTAAATGAAAGACAGAACCAAAGTCCTTGAAAGGTTACAAAAATCTTTAGCCATTCATTACTGTAAAGGGGGTGGGGGGCAAGTGTGGAAAGTGAGGGAATATAATGAAAACTAATACTCTTTCTCGTCACCAAGCTATCTGTAGATATGTTTGATATCCCATTACAGGCCCAGAAGTAACCACAGTTCCATACTGTCAAGAGACAAACATAATCCAGAGGGAAATTACCCATCAGGAAGGCAATACTGCTACTGAGATGCAATTACCAAGCCACTTGTGAGACTTTCAGCCCAGTGTCCGTGGATGAATGTGTGTGAGGGTGGTCGATATGTGCATAACAGCTCTTATGTTTAGCAGGCTAAATTGGATTCTTTGTTGGAGAACAGTTAATTTAGAATATGTCCAAGATGCAAATGATTGATGTGACTATATCGTTACAACTATGGGGTTTGTGGTTCGGGGTGAACTAATGGATAAAATATACTGCAGGGGGAGGGGGGAAAGCTTTTATCCCAGAATTATGGGGAAGTTTGTGAAACTTGCAGACGTAGAGGTGGCTGGCTGTTTATGCATGAATTTTAAAGTGTGTGTGGGATTTTGCTTTATTTTGTGTTATTTTGCAACACCCTTGTGTTCATATTTGTCAGTAGTTAAATAATCTGCGTGTCTCACAGAGGATTTAATGTACCAATTTAGCACTAAATCACATAGCCTACAAACAAAGAAAACACTACGGCTTGGAATGAACATGAGTGTAAACATTTGATAAGGATTTGCCTCAGGCAATTGCTATGCTTTATTATTGATATAAAAATATAAACTGCAGGAAAAAAAGAAAAAGAAACGACTTGTCTTTGTGCATGTGATCCGCTTAATTCTGCATTGTCCTTTCGTACAACTTATTCTCATACCGGCCCACCAATTTGAACATAGCATTTGAAGTAATAGCAAATTGCTTCTCGCTACCCCCGAGACAAATATATCAAGTTCAGGACATTTCTACCAAACTACAAAATTATTTCCTTTAACCTGGTAATTAATTATAGCTGCTTTCAACGAGCARCTTGTAACCTTACATGTAACATGGAGAGGGAAATGCTGCCTGCACCCATTGCAGGAAAGTGCATGTGGATAAGATATAAAACTGCCTGCACTGAGTTTGAGCCTTGCATGCATAATAAATGTATGACAAAACAATACCCCAGGCACCCCAGTATTAATGATATGCAGTGAACTCATTATTAAAGTTCCAAAACAGCTCCTGGAGTAACACAGATGGAGTCAATTAAGCAATGAGCATACTTGCTTGCCTGCCGTTTCATCTTCTTTCTTTTATCTCTTGCATATTACTCCACGGATGTAATTAGCTGTATGTTTCTCCTCGCGACATAATGTCCAGTGATAATAACAGTTATTTTCACTTGTAATTTCAAATAATACCCCTGCTTAATGAATGTACCAAATTTGCTTTCACTGTGTCCTTGGGTATTTCATTTGCACTGCAAAAGGTGTTGGGGATAAAAACCTTTCTAAGCTGCTGTTTTCCCTCTCTTTGTGCTGTTTCTGTTCCCAGAGACCTGATGCCTTCAACGCTGGAGGGGCAGATCACCATGGAGAAGACACCCAGCTACTTTGTGACTAACCATGCCCCGAAGCGCATCCACTCCATGGCCAAGGACATCAAGCTTATTATTGTGGTGCGTAATCCTGTCACCAGAGCCATTTCAGACTATACACAAACCTTATCCAAGAAACCCGAGATCCCAACCTTTGAGATTCTGGCGTTTAAAAACCGGACGCTGGGGCTCATAGATGCCTCGTGGAGTGCATTGCGCATAGGAATATATGCACTTCATTTGGAGAGCTGGATGCAGTATTTCCCTCTCTCACAGATGCACTTTGTCAGCGGGGAGCGACTCATCGTGGATCCTGCAGGTGAGATGGCCAAAGTACAGGACTTCTTGGGACTTAAGCGGATCGTGACAGACAAACACTTTTACTTTAATAAGACTAAAGGATTCCCATGTCTGAAGAAGCCAGAGGACAGCAGCACTCCCAGATGCCTTGGCAAGTCTAAAGGGAGAACTCACCCTAAAATTGACCCGGATGTGATTCGGAGGCTGCACAAGTTCTACAAACCCTTTAACATGATGTTCTACCAAATGACGGGCCAGAACTTTGAATGGGAGCTGGAGGAGGACAGTGAATCTCGCAGCTCTCAGGACTAGCACGGCACGGCTCCGCCATACCACCAGCCTTCTCACTACAAACTACTACGGTCCCCCTTCATCTCGAGAGAGTGCTTGAGCACGCCAATCAATTATGGCTGTCCAAGCAGTTTCTGTATCCATTAGCAAGATCTCACTGACATGCTTTTTTTCTTGATGATGGCAAGTCATTATTGTGTATATGAAACATAAAATATATTTATATTTGTGTAAATGAGATGATTTATTCCTTTTGTTTTTAACGCATAAAAGTGATAAAGAGTCATGTTGAATATGGCGATGCATGCGATGAGTTAAGTGTCCTTACCTCATAAGCCCTAAGGGGAAACTCTGCCTGTTTTTTCTCCCTTTACTTTCCTGCAGTTTGTTGCCCTCACACCCACTCACCAGCATTCGCTACAAAAAGATGTTGTATTTCAACGGCTGAGGCCATGAAGTGCTTTTGTTTTACTCCTTTTGACACAGTCCTGCTGCTTTAGAAAACAAAGAAAAGAGAACGTATACAGTATAATCCTTTGACAAGCTCATCTTTTAAGTTGTCCATATTTTGAGTGGAGACAATCCTTTTAAGTTTACCAAAGTAGTCACTTACTGTTCTGTCGCTTTTCTGATTGCTTGGCACTTATTAATTGCACACATATTCAATAGGAGAGCCAATGTGCATTGGCCATCATTCAACAAATGGATTGTTTCCCTGCAAAGTTACACATTAGCATACTGATGACCATGCACTCCGACAGGGTGCAGTATCAGTGGTTTTGGTATTAACTTTAAATCTGCTCTTTGTGCAATGAACGATTCTGCATCCTGCCCATTCTGTTTTCCTCGTGACCCTCCTCTTGTCACGGTAATATGTGTCAGTGAGGGTGAAGGAACACAATGCAGGACCCAGCAGAAGTTTGCTACCAAACATCTGCTGCAGCGCGGTCCTCTGTCATTAGAGATTAATGGTGTGTTAAATAAACTGCTGCTGCTGCTGGAACAAAGTCAATGTCAGAGAGAATTTGCCGTCAAGGTAAAGCCACATACATGCCCAGGTAAATTACCAAGCCATTACTGTATGTGCTTAACTTGAATGTGACCATTTCTGCCAGAGAAATGTGATGTAACTTGGAAGTTTATTGGCAAATATAATGGCCAACAGGGTTTTGCTGTGAAATTCACATTTATTCAATGAAGTTACATGACCMATCTTCTTTTCTTCATTTGGTTTATGTTTAGTTCTGCATAAACCACAGTGTGTCTGTCTGTTGTCTCTGGACTTTTCATCAATTGAGACAATCAATACAGTCAATGAGTCAATAAATACAGTCTGCTCCACACCACTGGTTGCTACAGCTATGATGCATTGCTCTGTTAATTCTTCTTGTTCTCTCGCCATGGATGGCTGGATTGGTTCACTCTCTGCAGACCTCTCTGTCACCCCGGGGAGGCCGACACCAGCAGCTACTTACACAAAGCAATTGATTCAATCAAAGGAAGCTCTGCGCTGCCCTTTGCAGCACCGAGCCTGAACGCTCGCCTCTGAGTAGCGCCTTCCCAGAGTTACAACTTCCACTTTGAGGCTTTTCTCTGCAGCCATCCCTCGGTGTTTTCTTGACAACGCACTTTTACCTCCTTTTCCCATTTATCTTTTATTCCCCTCTCCGTCTCTCTCTCTSTCTCTCTCTCTGCTCACGCGCCCCCCGTCTGCGCTGATATTGTGTTGGGAAACTGTTAAACAAAGGCGCCCGGCTCTAAAGATAATTGAACTGCAAGTAAGACATAGCCTACGTTAAAAAAGTATTATAATTTATTTATTAGCATTTTTCCCCTCCACGCTAACAGGAATAACYCACCCTCCAAAGCAGACAGTCCCTCCTACGCAGTGTAAATAAATCCACAAAAGGCCTCCCGCTGTGTCATTAGGACAGATGAGGACTTTATTTTCTTTCTATGAATATGCACTTTGGCTGTCATTTGCATTTTCAGGATTACATGCTTGAGGGAATTTTCCTCTAAAGTGAAACGAGGATTCTAACCTCTCATTAACCAAAAAATAAATAAATAAAAAAGCATATCCACAAACACTATTTTTCTTCCATCTCTCTTGCTTGTTTTAGGTACAGGCAGAGTGATACATCCTGCAATTCCTAAATGAATAAAATACATGCTAAACTAGCCTCCATGTGTTTCTCTCTGCGGAGATCATGTCATGGTACGCAGCTTATATGTATCACCTAAAGAAGCGTGATAAAAAATCACCTGCTCAGCAAAGTGTCACTGCCTAAGTGTCACGTTATAAGTACAAACTCAGTCATCAGTACAGCTTTGAGCTTCATGGTGTAAAAAAATGCAAGAATGTAATGAGAGATTATTTTTGTATGCTGAGGGTTTTTTATTCTGTAGAGACTTTTTTTATTATATGAGGCCCAATTATATGCACTCTAATGAAAAGTTGAAGCAACAAAGAAGCTCATTTTGAAAAGTATTCGTGGTGGAAAAGTGAAGAAGATGTCCTGATGTCTTCAAGATGACAAGCAAATGGGTTTCCACTTCACTGGAGCGAACAATTATCAGGTGAGTAAAGAGGAACATTCACATGCCTGCACAGTTTTATTTAATGTCCAAATAAAATAATCATATGTCCTTAAAACATCAACAACACATTAGTGTTTCGAACAAATTCAGTTTAATATTACATCACAGCAGTAGCCAAAAAAAATTGAACACATATAGTTGCTGAGAGTCAGTTACAACACAAACTCTGAGCAGGGCATATTTGCAAGGGTATAACTTTATGTTTACTATGGGTGTGTGTGTGTGTGTGTGTG